ATGTCTTGAAAGTGACTGTTAAACAAAGTCATAACATCTACACATTTAAACTAAATAGGTACTGCATTTTATTATTAATTTTTTAAACTCATACATCTTTTAATATCAGTCAAATATCTTAGAAGCAAAATCAAAGAGAGACCAAGGTATTATGCAAAAAGTCACTATGATAAGGCCAAAATTCAGTTGCCTCACATATGATATTTCCCTCTTTGGATTGTTATTTCAGACGTTACACTGGCCATCTTCTTCCTTCCTGAAATAAAAAGAAGAGCATATGTAAGGAAGAAAAATTCGTACTGAATGAAGGAGGGTGGGATATTTTCTGAGTGTTGCAATACTTCTTGGGATACGGCATTAATATCTAAAATCTCAGACAGGAATAGTGTTTACATGCTCAGATTATGATGATTAAAGCAGCAAAAAGAGTCAAAGAGGATACTCATGGAAATTGTAATATACATCTTATATTAATTTTATCTAAATAATCAGGCAACTTTTTACCAACACCAGTACAATTTTTTGGATCTGGAAAGGATTACTATGAACCATTGCAAATTCTCAGTTCTTTGTGGGTGCGAATCAGATCAAATATATTCAGATACAATTGTCCAGTCTCCATGCTTATGAATGAATGAATGATTGGATTTATTTATTTATTTATTGCATAAAAAGTATAGATGCTATTTCTATTTTGGGGTTGGGGAAAATTCAAAACCTCCTAAGCCCCCCCCCCCTTAAAAAAAAAGATGGATTCCTTTATAGGATCTAAAGACTTGGGAGTTTCTGCAGTCATAAGAAACAGGATGTTGAATGGCCAGGTCTACCATCAGGCAGATTCTCTACTGGGATGGCATGTCAGCAAAAGGACAACCAATTTTAGTGATTTAAATTGTCATTGCTGTTTTTTGACTGCCAGTAATGGTGACTGGAATTGCCTGGAAACAGGGCTTGGGCATTCTGAAACCTGACTTATGTAGGGGGAATTAATTTTAGCTCCTAGTAGATTAGCTTCTAAGCTTAGCCTCTACAAGCAAATATCTTGGTCTCATCTTGCTGTTGGGGGTGGGGGGAAGTAGAAGGGGAGGAAGGAGAGAGTGGAGGAGAAAGTGATTTGAACAGCAGAGGAGAAGAAGAGTTCATAGGGCTGGGCATGGCTAAGAGTAAAAATTGAAAAGGTGGTTTGGAGCATCTTTTGGGGCTCTGAGTGTTGCATTTGCTTCCCTGGCCTTAATGCAGCTGTTTCCTTCTCTGGGATCGTGGTGTTGCCCTCCATGACACTCATGAGAACCAAGGAGAAACCTATTTGATTTAAGGAGTGGCAATCAGGGGTTTCCTTTGTTTTTTGCTC